TTCCTTTCCTCATCCTGCTTTTGTGCGGGGCAAGAGTAGGGTGCAGGATTAAGTACATTTGAGGCAGGGGAGGGGCACTGAGCACACAGCCCCTACACCAGTACCACAGGCACCCTCCACGAATGACTCATGTAGAGTGCATCAGACATTCACCCCTGTCCTAACTGAAGATATATAAAAAAGGTGTGCGAGGTTGCTTAAAAAAAAAAAAAAGTTATGCCACTGACATTTTAAGGCTCTCTCCCCTACCCCTGTCCTTCCCCTTCACCATCCCTGATGTTCATGAGGGCTTTGCCACCCTGTTTCTCAGTTAAGCTACTGTTAAAATTGTTGGTACACTGCAGAGTGCAAAGCCCCAAGTGACAAATATAGAGGTGACTACCAGGGGAAGGGGTGGAGAAGGGAGAACTAATGCGCAAAACTGTTTTTTTCCTTTAATTTCTTTTGGTGGAAGAAGAGCAGCAACCAAAGTTGCCCAAAGATGTCACTGGTATTTGTCATGGGGTCAGGGACGGATGAGATGTTTGCATCAAGACTGTTTTCTTAGGAGCTGCTGATAGAAACTCTCTGTTCAGCTGGATCTAAAGCCCCCTGATGTCTCAGGAGCTTTGCAGTCTCTTTGTGCAGACATACAAAAGGTTTTTAAGCTCTGGTTACGGAATGATTTGAAAATGTACACTAATTTACTTCTCAAACACATCATGTTCCTTCATCCTCCACAGGCTTAGAAATCAGGAAATTGCATGTCAGAACTGGATGACTTGTCTTTTTCTTGCTTGATTCTTCTGAACCATTTCCATAGAAACTTTGGCTTCATAAAATGGGATCGGTTCATCCAGCTGAGGCCTAAAACAGAGCAGGGTGTGAGAGGCGCCTTGCGGGCACGCTCAGAGCAACGCAAACATCCCCGGACTCCTGCTAGACACTTTGCTTGCACTGTGTAAACTTTACTCCTTAAACAAAAGGAAAGTTTTATAGCTTCACTTGGATCCACAGAAGAAAGTAAGAGCCGTAAAGTAAATGGGAAGCATAAGTTTAAAGAAATTGCTCCTGGGGGGTTAAAAAAAAAAAAAAAAAAAAGGCAGGGAAGGCTTTTGCTCAGGAGGAATATTGTTATAGTGCCTGAAGAATAAGCACTTTCCATTTCCCCTTCATTGTGGCTCTCTTCATTATCTAGTGAAGCAGCCACTCTTTTTACACAGAGGAGTATTAGACAGCCCTATCTTTTTGTACCGCCAACACTATTTCCCAGCCACACAGCTGCTCTTTCCCCCAGATTAAGTAAAGAATGTGCTGCCTGCTAAATGCTGACTTAGTACATGGTCAGAGAAAAAAGGAGTTTTACTGAAATTGGGCATTTTAACCAAAGCTCTTAATGCTTAGCCTGCTGTACTGCCCACAGAAACACACCGTAAGCTGTTTCATATAAAGTACCCAAGACATCTTTTCCACAGCATCCCAACATCAATACCTCAGCAGTGCAGCACTAGCAGGAGCTGTTTGCTACTATCGATGAATAATAATAATAATAAAATTTACCTGAAAACAACGTTACTTGATAGTTTATCCATTATGTCTTCTAAGATGCGTATCTAAAAGAACTGTCAAGGTATCAACGTACATATGGACAACTGATCTCTCTACAAGCAGATCTTTGGGCGAGAGACCTGTACTGATACAAAACTGGCAGGGTTAAGGTTAACTTTCAATTTTGCCCTAATTCCAGTCTTGATCATCAGATTTACAAACTGGTTTGTAGAACAGAAACATTCCTTCCTGGAATAATATGCAAAAACAAAAACCAGACTATTAAAAAAAAAGGCAGACAAAGGCTTAAAGTTGACAAATGCAACAAATCCAGGTAGAACTGTAACTAATCTGAAGGATAATTACATTTTTCTTAGAGAACAGAGATGACAGATTTTGATATAAGTTAATTATCCCTGTCATCCATGCAGATATGAGGTAAAAATCAAAATAAGTCTGGGAAAAGAGTAGGTTTCCTAAGTTCTTAGAGCAGTGATACAATACCTTTTAAAATAAATCTTTGGGCTGATTTGCTCATTTCATGTAGCATTCACATCAAAGCTGTATACAAGGCTTTACTTAGTCTCTATATGAAACTCTGAAAAATAACATACCTCCATTCACTGTAGGAGCAATTTCAATAACACCTGAAAGTCAATCCATTCTAAGTGATCACCCTGTGATTTTTTTTCAAATGGTTATAGTATCAGCTCAAGACTTTCACAGAAGACATCAAAAAAAGATTTTTTTCTTTTATATTTTTATACTCTATGATAAAATGTCATTGCTGTGATCATAGAGATGCTATAAGAAACGACAGGAGAAATCTATTCAGTCAGTTCACTTTGTAGGAGAATAGCTACTAAATTAAAAAAAAAAGAACAAAACAAACAAAAAAAAAAACAAAACCAAAAACCCCAAACATAAAAGTACCTGTGCTATCATGTATCCCATAGATGCCTCTCCATTATACCTGACGTTCCTCAATCCACTTTGCAGTCCGTGGAGGGAGGGCTCCCTGCAGCGTAGTCAGTGTTTCACGAGGATGCCGCAGCCCTCACCTGCCTGCGCTGTTGTGCCGAGCCGCACGGCGATGCAGCAGACCGTGATCTGCACTGCAGCGAGGGAGCGTCCTCGAAGCCGCCAAGGTCGGCGGCCCTGCCGGTACCCGGCGCGACCCACCGCAAACCGTCACGCGGCTCTAAGGGCTCTAAGGGGTGGGTAGCGCGACAGTCTTTATTCCCACACAGGTATCATCTTTGCTCAATAAATTCTGGGTACAGAATACGGCAAATAAGGAAGAGCCAACAAAACCGAAGGAGTTTCAGGCAGTCCAGGTAACTGTAGGAGATTTATAGGTGATGTGTCTACTGCTCTAAAGAATAGAGAAAAAATATCTAAAGTGTTATGTGTATATTATAAGAACTTGTAGGACTGAATCTTCAAGTGATCAGTTCAGTCCTGTATTTTTCCAGAATGATTTATTTTTCACCACTGCTTTTAATGAGGCATTTTCTGAACATCCATGGAAGAAATACAGAGACTAGTTTCAAATGGGATCCTATGTATGGTTGCACTGCATTTTTACATTGGTTTCTCTGTTCCCACCCGCTCAGGTTACTCATTAGTGTGCAAAATGACCATCAAAAGGATATAAAGATACTTCCCTTGCTGTATATTTGACAAGTTCCATATCTCATCATTCAGAAAAGAGACTGTGGCTCCTTTAAGGAACAGGGAATGACTATCTGGAGGATCCAGCTTAAATAAAATAAAGAATATTATTATTTTTACAGAAATTAAAGCTAGGTTGTTATTTTATATTTAATGTTTTATTAACGCTGTTTCGGGACGAACGCTTCCCATGCTCAGCATGTTTCAAGTGAAAACTGATGCTATTTAACCGTGGAGACCACGAGAGAGCCCCAGAGACACTTTCACGTACATACCATGGTACCAACTGTCTGCTGATACATTGTCTTTACCTGGAGATGTTTTTCTGTAGTTATCCAGTGCCCCCCAACGCCCAGCAGTGTGATGATATCATGCTTGTGAGGCAGCAACTGCGGTTTTAACGCTGGCTCATCTTCTCTGCTATATAATCTCACTGAAGAAAAGAACAGAGAAAATAAAATTACTGTTCGGAATGAAATGTCTCTCTCTTCTGGTGTTGAAAAATGCAGGTCGTAGATTCTCTACAGTCTTATTTTAAGATAAAGATGAGTTGCAAAATACACATTTGAATAAAAATAAGGATGTCTCTACAGCATCAGTATAATTAAATTATGCTGCAAGTCTCATGAAAATACCTGGGAAAGCAGAACATTTAGGAGATTTAATACATTTTTTTCAACACGTTTTCTGTACAACTAAGAAGTTTATTTATTCAGCTGAAAACAGTAACTAGACTTATCAACTACTATAAGTGTTTTAGAATACTCTACGCTGACAGTACTGGCAACCTAAGTTCTATTTTTTGTATTAAGGCAGCATAAATAATGATGTCACAGCACTACTCCTTCAATGACTTCCTTTCACCCAATTTTCAAGCAAAAATTCATGTAAATTTGGAAGATCATCATCAGTAGTAGATGCTTCCACAGGAGGGCGCTAGGGTCAGGACTGCCTCAGGAGACGTGCTGAGCAGTGGCACACGAGCATTAACAATCTATGCGTAGTCTCGTGAGGTGCTGCAGCTGGCACTTAGGATACTTGAGGATTGAAACCCAGTGAAAAACGACTGCTTAATGCTCCTCAGAACAGCAAGCTGTCGGCAGTTACGCACCTCCAGCATCCAGAACAATATCCACGCCGAGGCCGCCCGTTTCTTCCAAGCAGCTTTCTGCCACGTCTGTCTTTCCACTGGATACATCAATCACTCGAGCTGGACAGAGCAGCAGGTGGGGGAAGTTACAATAAAAATGTAGAGTTTAGATTGAGAGCAGAACAGTTGCTTGTTTTTAAAAGCATCATGAGCAAATCTCCAGCTAAGCTACAGAATTACCCAGTATTTCTAATTTTTCAGTACAAGATCAAAAATCTGGGTTAAGCTAACACATAAGGAAAACTCACAATATTGCTATGACAAAAAATACATGTATTCTATTTCTTGAAATACTGTCTTTTACTGTCAGAGAAATACTGTGAAATACAGTCAATCCTAAGGTCTGGAGTCACTTAGCCATGTTATTGAGGTACTACAGGCTGGCGCAAAGGTAAGGAAGTACCTTATTTCCACGCCCAAAGCTTCCCAATTACCTGTGAGAAGAGCACCCATAGCAGTAATGCTTTGGGGAAGCTTTCCAAGCACAGCTTTTCCCCCTTACTCTACACAAAAACCACCAACATTTCCTGCCAGTGCCTTGCAGAGCCCTTCTCTTGCTTCCATGTCACGGAAGGGAACAAAAACCTATTTCTCCCTCCCATGGAGTCCCATCTCTGAGTGCAAGTCAGCTAAGAGCACCTGAGAGACCAAGTTACCTTAGAGCTGCACCACTCACACATCACATACACCAGTCACTACGGAGCCACCAAATTTTCTAATTCCAGCAAGTCTTTCCATCTTAGAATACTCACCCTCTCTGTAAATTATTTTTCAATAACCATTTCTTATCTCACAGTGTAGTTTATTATATAATTTCTGCACATTGTTTTAACCTCCACATTCCTCAGTGACATTAAATAAATGTTTAAATAGATGTTTTTACACATCTTGTTTTTTTTCCTGAACCAAAAATCGTTAGTATTTTCCTCTCATTTATCTGTGATACCATTTTCTGTAGATGACTACAAAACTAAACTAAAGCAGTACTACCAGGAGTAACTAAGGCAGAGAAGTAGCAGCTAAGGGTTTCAGTTTTGTTTTTAAATTATAAGGTTGAAAAAACATTGAGCAACTTAACAGCCAAAACACTTCTCACTTCAAAATAATTGGAAGAATAGCAAATAATTTTGGAGGCATGTTTCCAAAACATAATAGATTGAGCTTAAATTTTCCAAGTGCACTTACCTACTAAAGGCTGCCGCATACCTTGTTCCGTTTAAGCACACAAAGCGGGAAAGGAAAGGGAAAGAACGTATATTAAAAGACAACGACACTGGTCATTGGAAAACTAATGATAGCAAGAAAACCTCAGAAGTTATTTTTTTTTCCTCATCAAAGCATAGAATAGTTGAGGCTGGGAGGGACCTCTGGAGATCATCTAGTCCAGCCATCCCTGCTCCAAGCGGGGTCACAGCTACAGCAGCTACTCAGGGACATCTTTGAATATTGCCAAGGAACCTGCCCTTGTGCTCGGCCACCCTCCCGGAACCACAACATGCCTTCAGGTCTTAAGTCAAGCACCTAATATTTTCCACTAACATCAAATTATCTGTGTAAAGAGAATTTATGTTCTAAAAATTTAACATAAATGCATGTGACTACACGAATAAGAAACTGTAACTTCCTTTTCTTATGAGCTTCTTCAGCTTGCAAGTTAAAAGTATTTTTTCAACAAGGCAATTGGCGTGGTATAAATGTAATTTCTGCAAATACCCTTTTACTTCTTGAGAATAATTTTGACTGAATAGCCTCAAAAAGTGACTAGTCAAATGAAAAGCAATAGTTTAATCAGTTTGACCATTCCCTTATATCTGTTTAGCCCAGACTTAAAATTTTGTTAAGTCAAGTCAATCCAGTATTTCAAACAGACTCAAAGTCCTGTTCAATTTATTTCCCAGAAAACACTGCTAACAATTTCTCTCCGTCATGGAAAGGGCTGAGAAGTAACTTAGTATCACTAGTCACAGTGATAATTCATGCAAAAATTTCTCAGAAAACATTTGTGAGTTAGTTCAGTTCCTCTTTCTGCAACTGGAATGAATTCTAATGCAACTTTTTTTTTTCCCCTTCTATTTTTACGGTTTTTCTCTCCTTTTGCTATGGGTGAGTCAGAGAAGCATCAGAGAAGCATCTGACTTGCCTTGCAACATGAGCTTACCTTTACCCAGCAGCTTTTACTACAGAGTTTGAAAACTGCCACACAAAAGATCCACTACTGAGTTTATTGAACAGGCTTGAGAGAGACCCATAAACCACAAGTGAATTCTTACCCAGAGTGTATCCACTGTTTTTGAACTAATCCAATATTAAGCTTGAAAACTAATAAACAAAAAAAGCTTAATCTACATGGATATTTTTTGCTTTTAATAGGAACTCACTATATTTGTAGTTTAGACTGGAGGCAAAATACGTAATGAATATTTCTAAATTGATTATAATCCCCTCCTCCATATTGCTATTATATTTACTCCAGAGATTGCCAAAGGCATTTGTGAAGACCCCCTACTGCTAGGCTAAATATTAATCCTTAAACATTAACAGAAAATTGTAATTGAGGCATTGGATTTTTTATTAAAAAACAAACAAAAAACGATTTATTTTGCTCCCATTCTCAAACTCTTTGGAATGCTGTACCTAGGTTATATCTTTATTTAAAGTAAAGCCGGAACTATTTTTTCCCTAATGCTTATGTTCCACAGATATTTACAATCCTGCTAAACTCCTATTCACGTAAAGCAAACATGTATATAAGCAATATATACAATAGCCCTTTTACTGCAGAGATGGCTATTTCAGCAATTTTATGAGGCACTTTGCTATATACTGCTAACACAAGCTACTCCTCAGTGACAACTGACAGATTCATATTTAATATAAAAAAGCCCCCTAAACAAGCCCCAAGCTGAAAAAACCTCCACCCACACATGTTAAAAGCAAGCCAGCTGAAATATACGTAGCAATGCTCAGTTCGCTAGACTACTTATTTTATATTAACATTCATAAAACCCAAGACTGTCAGTCTAAAATTAAATCTGCCATGTAATCAAAAGTCATTCATACCTGCTGACAGGGCTAGGATAATAAAACAACTTTATATGTGGAGCACATATAAAAAGTTAATTACAAAGTCCTTTAATAAAGTTATCATATCATTACCAAAATATACGCATAAAATATTATCAAGTTGAATTTTAGAAGGCCTTTTCTAGTTACTTTTTATCCTGTAACAGCTGGCATCACAATCCCCTAAGCAGCAACAGCATTCACAAAACCACTTTACATTGCAGCACCTGTACTAGCTACTACTACAAGAGGATAAAAGGAAAACCCAAGGCTCCCCCAGACAGATTTCTGAAGAAAAAAATATTGACAGGTTAAAAAAATATTAGTGCCTTTTGGCAAACTGCAAGAAAAGAGGAAATTTAAAAATATGGGCATAAGTCTGCGGGGTCTTGGAAGAGACACAAAATTGCTCAATTCCTCGCTGAAGATCACGAAGGTCAGCAAGCAAAAACTGCCTGTCCCCCTGCTGTTGTGCAAGGGCCCCGCTTCCTGCGGCAGCCTGGGGAAGGGAGCTCTGCCCGGCACCGCGGATGTGTGCGGGGCGGCACGCGCACGCGGGGCCGCCTCTGGGCTTCCACTGCCACCTCTGCTCCCGGGAGCCGCGGAGGAATCGAATGTGACAAGAATGCTGTTGTCTCAGGGCCTAAAGAGCCGCTCTCTGGCTTATTTTGTCTCTCTGCTAGTTCACTATTCTTGAGTCAGCAGGGAGAACGCAAGGACAGCCCTCTGCGCCCCTGTGTGTCTGCAGTGCTCGTTGTTACGGAGTCACCCAGACGAAGAGATGACTATTAAAAACTGTAATTCTCCATTTGGAAAGCCTGGACTGAAAAACTGTACTCCTGTGCACACCAGCAAAGGAGGAAGGAGACAGTCGGGGACAGTTAACCTTGACATAATTTAATCAGATTATATCTCAACTCATACCTAGTTCAACAGATATAATTGTAAGAGACACACACAGGATAACTGTGACTACACAGCACTTCTCAAAAGCTTTTTGCAGCAGCCACAGTTACTGCTAGATGCACGAGCATGACAACAAGAATCACACGCTAAGAATAATACTGCAGTTCGGTGACTGTGCTTTCCGTAGCAGGCCTTGCAGCTCGAGGAGGGGGAAGCACCAGGCACTGGTACGGCAGAGTCCAGAGTCACTGCAGTCTGACCTTTGCAACAGCCTCCTCCATTGAAGGACAAGCTCTTCATAAAGGAATTTGCTACTTCCCTGCTCACTAAAACTAGCACCAAAACAAGAAAATAGGTTTGATGCAAAAAAAAGATGGCTTTCAGAGTCTTTTCCCATAACCTAGATAATAGCGTTATCTTGAGAAAAAGGAAAACAAATAAAACTTACACATTATCACAAAGCTGAAGCTACAGATGAACACACACAAAGTGCCAAATTCAAAAGTCATTCAGAACACAGGAAAATCCAAAGCCATTTAGCATCCAGCTACAGTAGAGCAAATTGTTCTATGGTTATGTCCGTGCCTGAAACTGAGCTGCCACGCAGCTTGATAAAATGCTATTAGAAATTGTTCAAGGCTGGTGAATATTGTATCTCAACTATATGATTACATCTGAAATGCTGGCCCAATTATGTAGATTATATGCTGTGATACTGGTAATTCAGTAATGTTTTCTTCTTGCTTGCAAGCAATATTTTATTTGAAAGTGAAAGGACTGGTTGAGCACTTAGGCCAAGAGCCAGCACTATTTTGCACTATTAAAGCACTATTTTGCACTATTAAAGCACTATTTTGCTAGAGGAAGAGTGCTATGAGACAGCCTCACAATTTAAATGAAGATCAAAATGACATCAAACACACCTAAGTATAACTTAAATACTTAATGAATGGAGAACAGGATAAACATTTACACTACTTAGGCTATTTGTAAAACTGTATTTTCGATTTCAGCTGAAGTTAAACTCTAGGTTAGGAAAAAACAAGCAAAGAAAACAAGTTCTCTTTTGGCACAAGCTTTCACACTTAAGAATAAAACTCACCCACAGGAGGTCTAAGCCTCTCCAGGTACTGCTTATCTTCAAGACTGTGTGCAGTAGAGATTACTTTAGCTCCTCTGTGCTGTGCTAACTGAATAGCTATTGTACCAAATGGCTGCAGGAAAACAACAACAAAAAATTCATCTACAGCAGCAACTCAGAGGTAAAGACTGTATTTCAAAGGGAGGTCAGGAGAAGCCATGGGAGTATCCAGAAATAAGCTTAGCCCTTTCATAAAATTCAACTGAACAAAGAATTTGAATATTCAGAGATCTATTTCTTGCTAAGTGACACCAAAGAAAGTTTTTTCATCGACTGGGAAGCTCCAGTACAACTTTTAGGAAATTAACTAGTTCTTTTATTCAAAAATAAGCTTGGATTCTACTCCAAGTAATTCAAGTACCATAACTGCAGCTGCCATTTCTAGCACTGGGCCTGCTTGATTGTTGAAGGTGAAGCACTACCAAGAAAAGATCTCCAGCCACATTTACATTAACAAATCTTTACTGCCACAAATTTAGCATCTTCATTAGCAACAAAGATTGCAGTAATGCAAATTATTTATATCTGACAGAAATTAACAAGCAGTCGTGGCAAAAGGAAAGAAAAAAGGTACTTCTTTCCAGCTGTACCTGAAGGCTGAGTACAAAACAGCAAGAACAACTACCTCCTCATTACCCACGTAGCATGTAAAGGACTGTATTCTTGGCTCAATATCTTACGTGGAAGGCCCCTTCCTACTAATTCATTAAGGATGATACGAGGAATAAAGCACCAGGCTTGATGAGCTCACTAAAGCAAATCCTGCATTTCTGGTGATAAGACTGCTTATGGCAGAGGCAATCTGTTCCAAAAAATTTTTAATATTGCACCATTGTTACCTACACTTGCTCCATCCATTACAAGTACAGTTTTTCCAGGAGAGACTTGGGAAAGGTAGTGTAGGGCTGTGTACGCTCGGACACCATCACGAACAGTTCCTGCTGCTTCAACCCAACAAACTTTTTCTGGTTTACGAACTATTTCAGAGAGAAAAAAAAAAAAAGTGGACGAGTGAGTCCCTGACATCACAGCAAGAATAGTTTTTAGATCAATGTCTAACGCATGAAAGAAAAATTTAAAAGTGAATCAACTACAAGTGTCATTATGATCCACTTTGTAAAGGTAGGATTCCAATGTGTGGTCCAATGATGAATTATTATAAAATTATGTCCGTGTATGTATATGTGTGTATATATATATATCTAAAGAATATATAAAAATATATAAAATTATAAAACAGCAGCTAGACCAAGTCAAAGTGGAGAAGGGACTTGCTATTCTGAAAACAGTCTGGTTAGCAAGATAACTGAAGTGCTTTGTAAACGAGGAATCTCTCTCTTTTTTTTTTTTTTTTTTAATGTGGACAATTTACATGACTTAGCTTGACACTAAGCTGGAGAACCATCAGAGCCTAGCTGAAAGTCTGGCATAGAACTAAACGAGCAAGCACCATCTTCCTGAGACACTAGAAAAGAAAGACTGCAGAAGTTCAGCCTGCCCCTGTCAATCTTTGTGTTTAGAATCTGGATTGAATCAAAGGAGCTATACAACAACATAAACGATCATCTGGGATCGTTTATTAGTGTGCTGGAAAAGAACTGTAGACTCGTCATCACTGTGTGTGTCAGTACATACTACTTAGCACACTAACAGACACACTACTAAAAGAAAGCTATCAAAGGAAAGGAAAAAAAAAAAAAAAAAGGCAAAACTATCCATCATCCATCTTCTGCCTCTGTACATAATGAGAAGGCAGCAGAGTCTTCCAGACTTTGTTTCCCTGGTCATTGTCCCCTGAAAATTGCTTTTTTTTCCCAGCTCTTAGTCTCCTCTGGTCAGAAGTGATGATGGTCCTGAATTGGGTCTAAGGGACGGGAAGTAAAAAACCCCAACTATTTTCTCTAACACTTTATTCTGCAACAGATGAGGTGACTCAGTAGAAAGAGAAAATGAAGCAACAAAAACGGAAGTTAGAAAGAAATAAAAAAAAGATTAGTCAGCTTGTGTGTTTAGGGAAAATATTAACCTGTTAAATGATAACACTGAGGAAAAAGCTTTGGAGAGTACAGAGTCTTGAAAGCTTCTGTGAATACAAGGAGTACACAGGATGTCTGAATGCTGCTATAGAACACAAGTTTCTTGGAAAATCGTATTTACTTGCTGCCTATTAGGAAAGGCAGATTGAACTATCAAGATACAATATGTACAAAAATTATCCAAAATACATGGACTACATACCCAAATAATGCTCATGAACTAGAATAACTTCACAAAGACCAGACTCTTCAGAATCCAGGGGCAAAATTCCTTAAGGAAAAAAAAACAACCAAAACAAACAAAAAAACAAATTCTTTAAGTCTTTAATTCCAAACAAGCACATGTTATAACAGAAACAAGACAGGTGCTCCTAATTATACTATTAGTCCTACTTTGGCTGTGGTGCAATTGCACTTGCCAGGTTAACTCCTCAGGATAAGAGCCTGTAATCTCTGTGCCCTCAGTACCTGAGATGGTGCCACAGTTGATCCAGACAGCATTTTGGAGCGGGGGGTGGGACGGGTAAAAAAGGGGGACGATAGTGACCGCTTTTCTGCTAGTGGCACCTTTGTCATATGTCTGAACTCATTTCAGGCTGCTCCTCCTCCTCTTCCTCCAGGCCACGGCCAGCCAGTGCAAATATGGGAGACCAGGATGAAAGATGAGAGGCAAGTGTTGTTAAAAAAGAGGAGAAAAATGCAGAAAGAGGGAAGGAAGAACAAGCTGAAGAAAAAAACATGGAAGACAGAAAGCAAACATAATAGAGAGGAGAGGAAAAAAAAAATCCACCCCAATTGTAACAATGCTTTTTTCCTTCACTGGCCAAGGAAGCAGAGTGACAAACAGGAGGTTCTGGCCTGAGATCAGACTTTGAATATACATAGGAGCAAGCAGAAACAAATTTTTTAAAAAAAGGTGAAAAAAGTTAGAAAATGTGAAGGTGTGTTTTTTTAAAGACAGGTGGAGAGAGAGAAAGAAAAGGTCCACAGCATATACTTTTCTAGATAAAACCCCTAACAGTGGTGTCTTTTGCTCACACAAATTTTACACTCCATTAGGCAAAACCAGGGGCTTTTGCTTAATATCCTCAGCAAATTTGTCTACCATTTCTGACAGTCTTTCACAGCTCCCATTCAACAAAGGTTTTCCTACAGTGCTCACATGTATCTCCAGCTTATTCATGGGTTTATTTACATAACAAAAAGTAGTCCAGAATAGCCATCTATAGTAGCTACTGTACAACTGGGAAATAATAGGAGGAAAAGAATCTCAGAACAGAGCACCCTTTTATAACAGCATTATCACTTCTAACTTACTTTCATATTTAAGTCATTCTCTATTTCTTAAATTTAATATACAAACATATGACAGAAAAAAATTCACTTACAAATATAAATCCTTTGTATTTATTCAAAGGTTGTGTTTTCAACACTTACTTTTCACAGCTAATTGTATCCTAGTGTATATTCTTAAATATTCAGTTAATGTAATAGATAGATTACAATAGAGACCTGAATTTCTCTCACATGGTAAAAAAAACCTCAAGAGAATATTTTCTCTGTGATTTTTTTAAGCAGAATTCTCATTTACAGGAGTTTATTCATGTAACACTAGAAAAATGTAGCTTTAGTAATGATTGAAACTTGAGACATTCTTTGTAAAAGATTACTAATTATGCTAGTTGGCAAGGCAAACAAGTGGTAACTTACCCACTACTTCATCCTCTGGCTGAAAAAAGGACACCTTCCTTCCAACTTACAAAGAACATATGAATATAAGGAAAGAAGTCATGAACATAAATATTTATAATTGATATTGAACAGGTATTTGAGAGCACTCTGTATCATTAACGTAAAAACCTAAACACCCTGCTAGTAGAACACACATCATGCTAGTGATGTTTATACACCAAAAACTTGATCTTTTGCTTATTTTATTCCTTTATATGCTAGTACACATAAGTATGTGTTTGAAAGACCTAAGGTTTAAATAAAGTGTCAAAGACTCATACACAAGTGAACGGCTGCTTTCATTCCTGAACGTTATTGTTGTCTGCACTAGTCCAAGAATTACTTTATATACTTAAAGGTTATTAAAACAGGCGAGATCTTATATTTTATTTAGCTGCTGTGCACAGCCTTTTTACCCTAAGCAAATATGCAGGCATTATAATTCAGTCCCTTTTCTATTTTTAACTTGAATATCATTTACTGATGTAGAAAAAAGTTTCATCATGAAAGCAAATACTAGCTCCTACTATTAAAGTTACACCATACAAAGACCATACACCATACAATTTTACATACTATTAAAGTTACACCATACAAAGACAACAATTTTACGGACTTACCTTCCAGCACAACTCCAGAGATTTCTCGACCAACAGGTAAGAATTCCTTCTTCAATTTCAATTCTGACAAAAGCTAAATGAAAATAATGGTTATAATTTTCTTACCGAGGCTCAAGATTTGCATATTTATAATCATCTTACAGTATCTGACATAGGCTAAAAAGGGCCATTAGCAAAACGTTATCAAAAAACAAGAAGCAAAAAAAAAGAACCAACCAAAAACAGAAGCACACATTTCTCATTTAATGAGAAAACCTTTGATATGGTTTTCTGTATTTAAATTTAGAAGCATACAACAGAAAAAATAAAACCAGAGAAAGTCATTAGCTGCCAGACCAAACTGGGACTTAACGTCAGCATGCAGAGGATGATAAAAGAGTTTTTACTAGAAGAAAACTCAAGATGACAACTGATCTTTCCCCATAAATTAAGAACCAAACTGCAGGTGCTGTTTATGGAAAGAGATATGCAGGAACACCACATCAATCCTGAGCCCTCTCTCTGAGCAGTATGGCCATATCCTCATATGGCATATATGGAATTGTGCCAATTACCAGCTAGGGCCCTGGCTTCAGAACATTCGACAGAAAATGTAAACACTTCTAGCTTTTATGAAAAATTAAGCAAATACCTTTGTATCTATCCAGCTCAGCGCACAGGCTCTAACTTGTATTTTCACATCATTGTCTCTTGTAGGAGGAAGGTTTTCCTAGGACAAATTTACATTATACAGCACATTACATTATACAACAGAGCATGAACGTGCTAGTAGAATCCTCTCCAGATCTTGAAAGTACTTTTCCTGAGAGTCTTTATTTTAGATTTCCGTGACTAGAGTGTTCTGGCTACAGAACTTTTCAGTGAAACTGAAACCTTTCTAAACATCAAAAGAACAGAAAATTATTTTTCTGTTTTCTTTTCCTTACAAGTTAAATTTCACACCACTTTCTGAAGCAAGTTTAGACAGATGCTAAAGGTTAATTAATAATGTACTAACAGGTGGAAGGAGACTGGTTTATAACACAATAGGGATGAGAAAATTTAAGGTATTGACTCAATCTCTTCAAAATCAGGTGAATATTCAAGTAGTCCAGATAACAAAAAAGAGACTGCACCGATAAGCATTGGTGTTGAGTCCTAGAAATGATGGGTACCTTGTAACAAAAGCTCTACTACAAAGTCTCCCCTTGCTATTCTGACTTCAATTTTCAGCATCAATATCTGAACTGATTTTAAGTAATTGAATACTGCTACTTCTAAGCACTTAATGAGCCAAGCTGGTTTTGGACTGCTCCCTCCACACAGCTTTTGGAGAGTTAGTTCAGACCCTGGTGCCAAAATCATGTATTTCATGTATTTTCATGTTACGCTGTAGTCTGCCTTTTTTTTTTTTTTTTTTTTGCCTGAAAGTGGAAAATCACAAGGTCAGAAGATATTGTTTCTCCTTCTGAAGTTAAGATATCCTGCTAAGTATTTAAGCTTTATTATTATTACTAACTCTTCCTAACAAAACAGCTGCTTTTCTCGTAAGTGTAGCAAAATGAACAGTAACTTCTGTCTGAGAAATACTGAGCTGAACTTTTTCTCACCCCAGCTGAGTTAAATGCAGGCAGCTCCTTTAAAACTGCAGGGCTTTTTGCCAAGCAGACTGACCTCCTGCTCCTCCAAACTAATGTAGGATCTCGCTCTTTGTTCTACCAAACACTGACAAGCCATGAGAATGCTGTAACTAGAACAATAATGCATCTCTTTTTAAACTTACAATCTAAGGGATTTATGCAAGGAGAAACAATTTCTATTTAAAAGTATTTTAAATTTTGGACCTGTGCTTTAGGTATGCGTAGTTGAACGAATCAAGCATGGCTACAATACAATAAGACTGTTTTTATAAAGATCTAGAACCTTTCTTAAAAAAACAGTAAGAGACTATCGAACATTTGTGTGGTTAACTGCTTCCTGTCTTCATTATTTAAATAGACCAGCATTATTAATTAACCATGTAATCCTAATAAAGCAGATCTGCGAAGGAAACTCTTCATCCAAGCTACTGACTTAGCCACTCTCAAGGCCGTTTAGATCTCCTTAGATGACAGGCTTTCCTTTTCCTCTCTTTTTTCAGTGCTTATTCCTTGTTAATGATTACTTCTCATCATTATAAAAAAACTACAGAATTAGTTCCATGTCTGAAGAGCTCAAAATAGGCCATTAGACAGACAAAGAACAGATTGGGAAAGAACATTTTGAGACCTGTGTAAGCTTATTTAGGACCATACCAGAGCTGTCTTGCTCACCTGTTGCCAGTAGCTGCTTATTACTGTCCTCTCCTTTGGGTTGATATCAGCAATCATGGAGCAATCAGGCAGATGAAAACTACTAATTCTTTTACTAATTAGCTTACATTTGGATAAATAAGCTGATTTATCTCACCTCATAGCTGCACAACTGCCAAAACTATTACAGGGAAGGGAACAAAAACATGCAGCAGAGACAGGAACAAACCTTTTCAACAGAAGCTCAGATTCACAAGCAATTTAAGTTGACCTAAGATTGCACCCTGAATATTTATCTTGCCTATATCACAATGCACCTTCTTACTGTACCCTTCTTTTCAAGTAATTTGTCCAGTGTTGTTTTGTTACTACAGCTTTACAGCTGTTGCCCAGACATATCATTACCAATATTATATTGTTTCATTTTGATGCTTGGTTCATCTGGGTATATTATCTATATTAATATACTTCATATATGTAACATGTCCATTCAAACAAACAAATAAAAAAAAAACCCCACAGGTTTGTGTCCATGAAACCACTGAAGTGTTTTTCTTCTGTTCAAACACTCATATTGCATCAAGATAGACTTTTTAACATCCTTTTTTGCCTTATGCCTCAGATAGGCATGTGTGCACTTGTCCATTTAATGATAAGTACTTTTGGGCACAATAGTTTTAACTATTTTTTTAATAGAACGGTAGTGGTCTTCCTGATATTGTTTCTATAAATTTCAGAAAGGAAGGAATTTAAACAGAGGAGACTATGAGAGAAAACAATACTAGAAACACTGCCAATATAGTAAAATGCAAGCAATGTTTTAGTTTGAGTGTCCAGAAAAATCTATCCATAAGATGCTAATCCATATGGAACCAGGATTCATTTGTTTACTTTTAGAATACGTTCACCAAAATGACACACAAATCTATCACTGGCCTTGTCAAGTGCTCCTGAATGATGGTTAAATATTCCTCTCCTATCTTCGTTTACCTTTACCTTTCATTTATCATGTTCAGAGGTTATATATGTTCTTTTTGAAGTTTTCAGACTACCTTTGGCCACGCTCCTTCTTGCACTTAATGATTAATAGCTCTATTATGACTGGAACTTACTCTTTCCTGGAAGACAAATGTCATTTCCTCTCCAGGTGAATTCTGCTGACCGTACAGGGCTTTCATAGTGATCTAAAAAAAAAAAAAAACGATAGAGCAAGCACACTGTAACATATGCAGCGTCTGCAGAGCAAACAACCAGCTAAAGCTTTAAGGTACTTTTTAAGCTGAGCAGCAATTGCTTGCGAACCACAGGGTGGGAACACAGAGTCTCCGCACCCTCCCAGCTCTCCCAAGTTTTAAAGCGGTCAACAGGGAGAGCGCGATACGATCCTACCGATGTCGCTGATGGCAAGACCGCAAATAGTGGGAATTGCCTATTGTGCCAGCTGTGAGCAGGATTTACCAATCAGTGGGTTCTTCAAGGCACGGGGAAAGCCCAGAGGGACCGCTGGAAACACGCGCTCCCGGCCCGCTCTAGTCACTGCCCGGCGTGCCCGCGGGCCCGCACGCAGCGCCCGGCGCCCCTCTGCTTCCTGCTGCTCTGTCGGTGCTGCGCGCCCGCACACGACGCGCCCGGCGGGGCAGCAGAGGGGCCCTCACCCAGCGCGGCCTCCCCGCCGCGTCCCGCCGAGCGGCTCCAAACCCAGCGGGGGGCCAGGGAAGCGC